AATACAAATATTCGCCTCTTTCCTTCTTTAGAGTAAGAACATTACTTTGAATTCTTGGACTACACTAAAATTTAGAGAAAACACTAAAAAATAAAATAAACATCATTTCTTTAATTTGATAATACTAGGTAAAGATAATTCCAATTTTTTCTTAATTTTTTTTCTTTTCCAGAAATCATAGCTTTAAGATGACAGAGCTCTTATGACATTGCAACGTGAAATATTTTCACTAGTCCACGCTGTTTTTTTTCCCTTCTTTTTCAGTAATTCATTAATCTGCGACTTTATAAAAATAGGCTTTAGACATTTTTCCCAAATTCTTCCGATTTTGTGTCCCCCCCCCCCAAATTTCGCTATTTGAGATTTTAATTTCTGATACCAATTTCTGTCTAGATGTCGTCCACCTTCTTTGTCGCTGAACAAACATTCTAAAATTTTTCTTTTCTCTATTTTTCAATAGTTTAATACAATTTAATACAATTTTCTAAGGATATTATTTTGTTCTTCAAATTATCAATGCATTCTTGCTTATCTTTAAACATTCAGGATGATCTACATATTCATTTGTGAGTTTTATTTTAAAATCATTAAAATTTTATTTATTATTGTCATCATCAATTTTGATTTATTATTGTCATCATAATTTACTTTCGGCACAGCATTCCATTTCAACAGTTTCTTTTTGTGGCTATCCAAACAAGCGATTTTTCATATCATCTTCATAAACACTGCATAGAAAATGTTCGCTGCAGATTTTTCCGCTCTTCACATTAATAGAATCTTCTCTTTGACATTTGTGTATCCATTCTTTCGTCAAAAGCAAACTCTCATTTGGATCCTTTGGTCCATGAAATAAAATATCTCATCCTTTCATACTTCTGTAAGTGCGTGCTACGGCACGTTACTGCAGCGCAAAAAAAGCCATATTACGTAAACGATACTTTACAATATAGAATTTAAAATAAAAACTGACTAAAATTGCATATATATAAATGATTTTTAAATATATACATTATTAGAAAAACAGATATATATATTATTAAAATTAATTTGGGATATGTAACCTCTAGAAAATCGTGTCGCAGCTCAATGAAACCACTGTTTTAAACGCGGGAAATCAGGACAGGTGGCATCACAGTGACGTCAGATTATTGCCTGTTACATCCCCCCATTAGGCTCGCGTCGGCGAGGAGTCGAACAAAGAAATGAGCTAGCCCTTCTATTTATCCCTGATGTCGAATCTCCTTTTATGAAATAATATTCCATTACTGGTCTGAAAGTTCTCTTTAGAGCCGTCCTAACAACATTTGATACAATTTAATAATAGTATTTGAAAAAGAAGAGTAAAGTCTCCATTAAATCATCAGTAGCACTCTGTTAGTTTAAATCAAAATTATAATAATAATCTATACTATTCAAATCTGTGAGCGTATGTCTGTCTGTTTGTTCGTGACACCATCTCCTCCGAAACGGCTGGGAGTTGAGTGTTGAGAGAAGTACCTCCCGAATTCCAAAGATTCATGAGAAGCCATTTCGACCATTCTTATCTTCATACGACTTTAATCAGCCGAGATATTAACTGATAACTCTGAAAACGCTAGTTTTCGCACTCATATTTCCGAGTGGCAACAGTCTCACGCGCTGGAGATAAAAATTTGCTTTATTTCAAGAACTGTTGCCACTGCTCACTTTCAAATCGTAGAGTTTGTTAATAAAAAAATTGTAAGTTTTACAAAATTGAAATAAAAATAGTATTGTCAAAATAAATAAATAAATAAATAAATAAATAAATAAAAGCTGCTGTTGATAACTTTTTTGTTTCAGGTTAGGATAATTCACAAGGTATGTTATTGCCATATTAATTCTTTTATTGATATTGAGAAAAAGTTGTTGTATAACATTAAATTTAAATCAAGATACGTATGCATATTAACCTGAAGAGTCAACCTGGTTTGGCAACAAAAAATTACTAACGAATTGGTTGTTGCTTGGGAAGAATGAACTGATTTTATTTATACTGAAATGTTTTTATGCATTTTCTTTTCAGGTGTACATAGAACATATAAATTTTTCCCTGGCGCAGCCCACTTCTTGTATTTAATACCCCGATAATTTTTACTGTCTTTGACTTTGCATGAGATTTTCTGTGATTGTTTCAAATGTTTATTCATGTTTTCAATATTAAAATCCACATGGACATTTAAGTCATTAATGAGGAAGTTGCTCATGACAATTAATCATTCAAGTAGCAATATTTTGCAAAAGTTGATTTTTGTGTAATGTGTAATCTCAGGAATGACACAAAAGAGACAGGCATAACTAAGAATGGGTTTTATAGACGTTTTGTAAAGGGGTAACTTATCAATAGACAGAAACGATTTCTGGCAATAAGAGGACAAAGAGGAATTTCCAACACTCGAGATTACTGGGAATATACGCAACATGTGGAGAACAGGTGACTCTAAAAACAGCCAATGTAACTCATATTTTAGTCATACATTTTGATACATGTTACAACTAATTTGATTTTGCACATAAGATGACTTCTAAGCACTGACCGCTATTTAAGACATCTCTAATAAATAATGCTATGTTGGATTGCTCATATTCATGCGCATATAGATGTACACTGCTTATCATAAATTAAGGAAAAATCACAAAAATTAAGACTACTGAAAAAGTTACATGTAGAATTTTATGAAGCTTACCCACAATATACGACACATAGTAAGGTATCAAATAACATAAAAAGAAATTACCAGACAATTATGGTAGTATAGAAATTAGCACATGTATAAAATAAACAAATCGAAGATGTCAGTTTGCTATAGTAAAAGTACCTTCAATATGGAATATAATCACCTCTAGAAGCAATACAGCACATTCAGCGATGTGTGATGCTTTCAATTATGCCATCTATCAGTTCCATAGGAAGCGAGAGCCACTGCTCTTTCAAAGCAGTTGCAAGCGCGGCAAGGGTATAAAGGGGCGGATTGAGAGCAGCTAGACGTCTCCCTAAAGCATCCCAAACGTGCTCGATAGGATTCAAGTCCGGGGATCGAGCTGGCCACTCCATGCGCAAAATTGTTTCCTGTTGAAGATAATCATATATGATGCGAGCCCTGTGTGGTCTTGCATTGTCGTCCTGTAACAGGAAATCATCACCTATTGCCCGGGCATATGGGCTCACATAAGCATCAAGGATGTCCTCTCTATAAACATGAGCATTCACGGTTCCCCTTGGAAAAACATGTAGGTCTGTGCGTCGACCCAAAGAGATGCCACCCCAAACACAGACACTGCCTCTTCCGTATGTATCTCTTTCACGGATGTTTGACGGATGATAACGGGTTCCAGGTTCTCTCCATATCAAATAACGCCTACTATCGCGTTCTATATTAAACCTGGACTTATCCGTAAAGACAATAGCCCTCCACTGACTCAGGTGTTCCAGTGAACATGTTGTCGTGCCTACTGCAAATGGTCCCTCCTATGGTGTGATGGGAGCAGCACGCAAACGACTAGTTCATCTCGCATGCAGACCACCTTCCTGAAGCTTTCTACGCACAGTTGACGTCGACACTAAATTTCCGGTGGCTGCAGCAAAGGAGGATCTAAGACGAGTCGGAGTAGCAATTCTATTCCTGAGTGTACATGATGTCAAATATCGGTCATCGGCGCTCGTCGTAGCAGTTGGCCGTCCTTGGCGAACCTCCTAGGTACCGAACTGTGATTTGAAATTGTCTCCAAAGTCTATGAACCAAAGAAGAACTCACATTTAGCCATCTGGCCACTTCTGTTTGACTTTGTCCTGCCTCTAGTTTCTATCGTAGTTCTGCAGGCAAATGATGCCTGGAGATCATTGTTACGAATTGGCTATCTCAGATTTCTGATGTCACTATCACAGTGAAATATGTGGGCTTGCTCTCAAACATGGACTTTTATGCTCCTCGCAGATGACGTATTCCGAATGCAGCGCCACTAATTTGCATATTGGAGTTTTACTCAGCTACTCTTACTTGATAACGTATTCAAATTTTACACGGTTTGGCTTATTTTTGAGGGAGTTATCGCTATTTTTGTGATTTGTCCTTAATTTATGATAACCAGTGTAGTTGGATTGAGGTCTTTATATCCAGACTGGATGGTACAACGCGGACGTGTTTGGGAAATTAACGGTATTCTTTTATACAGTTGGAGAATGAGAATTAAAGTTTGGAGGTAATATTTTAGTATGGCTCTTCATCAAGTCGAAGAACGTTCAAAGGACTTCTAAGTTTTCGAGTTGTCGATTGTGTGAGGCCTTTAGAATTTGGGCTGCATGTATCATCGGCGCGCGTACATGATAAATTACTAGATTCGGCTTGACTACTGTAAAGCTGCTGCCTAAACAAACTGAGTTCAAGGCAAACATTTTCTGTTTGGCGTTGATGTGTATTCAAAGCTTTGCTTCTTCTGTTAATTTTTTTGGTTGAGCTAAGACCTTTATGGTGAGACGAGATCTTCGCAATCCTTTCAGCACAATGTGAACGAATAGTATTTATCGTTTTTGATATTATTCTCCTAAATCCTCAGCTGAGTACAGATCAGTAAAGAACTTTTTACGTTCTCTACGAAAAATCTTCAGCCTATCTATAAAACTGCAGTTCTATCATAGTAGCTGAACTGAGGTCTGCATTCTATCAAGATCGCAATGTGATTGTCATAGTGTGAATGAATAATGTTTGACAGCTGAGATATGCTACTTACATAAATACTGAATAAAGAGTGACTCATTCAAAAACTTTGCAGTATATAGGGTAGAATATGCAGATATTTATGCAATGTGTTAAATTCTGTTTAAATATTTATCCAGTGCAAAGAGTTTCGATATAAATTTGTGGATAAGTTTCAATACCACCTCAAATTTCTCTTTAATTTAAATTATTGCTTCAAATTTTAAAGCTGATCATTATTATAAAACTCTAACTTTGCGATATTAAATCATATCCGTTATTTCCTTCATTTTAACACTTCAGTTTATTAAAAATAAATTTATACATGAACAGCTATTGAAGAAAACTTCAAACAATTAATATTTTACAATTACAAAAATCAACACATAATGCAATTAATTTTATATATGCACTTTAATAAATATATACATAAAATAGTTATTACTTGCATATGTGTTACGCTGTAAATGTTATAAAATAGAACAATTTAGAAATTCAGAGCTTAGAAATTTACAGTTAATTTTATACAATCATAAAATTTTGTTATTTCAGAATAAATCCACTTGCGTGGAATTGCATTATGGATTTTAAGCAATGTATCCTAAAATGATGGAGACATTGATTAAATCCCCAGTACAAGTAAAGTATATTATAACAATAAAAACGTATTATTTCTTGTATTCAGTGATTTCAAGTATCAGAATGGGTTCTACTATTTTAGCAAGAAATATTAGAATAAATTCCACTATATAACAATTTGAATGCTTAAATCATAAAGCAAATAATTACATTATTTTATTAAAAATAGAAGTACTCAGATCTAAATAAGATGCGTGGAAGAGTATAGAGAATCTGACAAACAGCTGATTATTTCATGAAACTATCTGCATAAAATGCAATAATTTAAAGATTTTTTCCTTTAAATATTTGTAAATTTATAAAGATTTTCAAAGCTCTGCTACACCTTTCTTAAATGAATATTCCTCACAACAGAAAAAAGAAGACTAAATAATTCTAAGCGTGGAAATAGAAACATGGGAAATTCTTTAAGCAGCAAAATAATAATTAGGAACAGCATTTGTTGATTTGAAGGCACTGAATGAACTTTCATATTATATCATTGTCCCTTTCTTTTTCAAAAAGTTGCACGTTTTAAATAGCAGTCCTGGTTTTTTACAGATGCAGTGAATGATATTTAACACATTGACTGCCGCGTTATCCATATTCTGTTGACGGCAAAAATTCTGATCAGTTTGTGTCATCCGTATTCGGGTGACAGTTCTTTGAGTACTCACGAGATAAAGCAGATATTTGAAAAAAATATGATGGTTGATTGAATGATTGGGTAAAGAAACGTACAAAAATTATTGTTGTCGACAGGTAAACTTATTTCGTTCACTGAATTATGCTTTCTTAGATATCCACTTTTCTTTTTCCCTAAACAACCAATTCTTTTATGTTTAGTAGTATCTGTACCACATTTATTATCACTGCATTTATCAGTGTTCAAATTAGAATTTGGAGATGTAATTTTGTTCATAATTACTTTTCTGAAAAATCTCGACTGCTCGTCATCGCTACTATTCGAATTTTTTTTAAGCCTCGTAACTGGTTTCTTCTTCACTGATATATGTTTCACTTAAAAATTACTCTTCCATTTTTTTTAGACACTGCAAAAAAATGGAGCAACAAATTTAACCGAAAAAAAATTTCAACTATTTGTAACTTTACAAAAAATATTTGGAAAAGAAGAAATAATTTTCGAATCTCACACCCTTTCTTAAATACTTCGTTTTTGAGGAAAGATTTTAAACTAAATGACTGTCCAGAAATATTTTATTCTAGACGTTCTAAACGCTTACTATCAGAAACAACTGGCGCATACTATAGCAGCACTCGTGGCCTGGCGGACATTTTTTTACAAACTAGCGTGGCAGTCAACGTGTTAAGCAGAGAGTATTTGTAATATCTGAAACGAGTGCTTCATTTCATAGTAGCTATTATTCCATGTCTTCTTCCAGCTTTTTTGAAGTAAGACCTATGCTGTTACCTTTTTTTAAAAAGTTCTTTTCAAAAGGTTTAGAGTAATGTTTCCAAAGTGCAGATCAAAACTCAACCAAGAGATAAGGTGACAATTTTATAAAGTCGAGAAAAGTTAGGCCATTTCTAGTTTTATTACATAATTTCATACATTAATTTATAGTTATTAATTATTATATACCTATCAGTTGTCAGAAATGTTATTTACGTATTTATTAATATAATATTTTTCATTATTCTCATCTAGAATCCTTTAACTGTTCCCCCCTAAAGAAATGATAGGAATGCGAGTCGTGATAATAAAAAAATTAGGAAACATTGCACCAGAAAGTGATAGGGATGGACAATACTGGAAGAGCATTTCACGCTGTATCTTTTCTATAAAACTCCAGAAGAAGATTAGTTAAGAATGATTAGACGGTGGTATAAAATATTTCTAGTACTCGCGAATGGTGAAGTGAAATGCTTCGAAAGAAGCTACAAACTGCATAAATAACGAGAAGTAGGCTGATGTTCATTGAGTCCTTTCTTTAAAATGCAAATTTAAAGTAGTTTTTGATTGCTTTTCAGTAATTTTGCAGGCTTATCATTCTATAAACAGCTTCTGCCATACTTGATAGAGCCTATCTGGGGTAATTTCAAAAATCATAGCAGTGATTTTAGAAAGAAGCTTACTGATTTGCCTGACAGTGGTGAGTTACATGCTTTATCTTCTGAAGAGTAAACTCTAAAAAAGTAATACTCTGCATGCTCACTCTGAATCAACAAAAGTCAGCACTTTCAAACTCTGGTGTTTTAACTCTGGTAACTCTGGTATTTTAACAAAGGTGTTTTTTTTTATTAAAAATACTATTTGTTCCTTAAATAATTCTCCATTCCTTAAGAAAGTGTGAATATGCTACAATTTTGCTAAACTCTTTCTTATAGGTGTTAGCTGAAACCGTATTACATTTAAGGAAATTTCAGCTCAGAAGGATGATAATGTACTATAAAAGTCTTAAAACTGAAGAAGTACTTATTTTTAGCTGCTATCTTTTGTAATATACCATAATTATATATCAGCAAGTGATTATATTTTATTGTATTCTAGATAATTATGTTAATCTTAGTTATCTGACGTAATCTTAGACAAGCTGCTTATAAGAAAGGCTTTCTAAGTAATTTGAGAACGACAATCTATTCTATTGCAAATCCTTAATTAAAAGAAAATTAAACGTACTATCTATATCATAACAATATATTACAAAAATCACAGAAAACAGATTTGTCCTAGAAATGTTAGATAGTGAACATTCTTATAACTCGCATTAAAACGAGGAAAAAAATGAGAAAGGTGTAACTTTATATAAATACAAACATAAAAAGATTATAAATACTAAGATTCTTTTTACAGTGTTTAAAATTTTATCTCTAGACATCAGTCGCATAATCATAACCGCGACACAATCCTACTGGGTTCTTGTATTGTGAATTGCATCTTAGTTGTAGCCCAAGTAATACCCAAATTCACGTCTATGGGTTCTTCCATTGTCTTTTCCAAATAATCGACTTGACCATGACCATCAACCAAAATGATAGTGTGCGTTCTGTAAAGGAAACAGAATTTCCAATTAACTCATAATACCTGTTACACATACATACATGAAATAATTATTTTAAGCGCCTGAATATAAAAAGATTAAGCAACTCATATTTTCCTATTGATATTGAAGAACTGTTTTGCTGTTAAATTATAGAATACACAATAAGTTTTATGCCTTTAAATAAAAGCTATGTGGAGATCTTACTGTATTGGGATATTGGAGGGCTTCACTTTATAGCTTAAGAAGGGAATAATAATTATTTTGAATAAGAACGTAAGCTATTATTCATCTTCATGATATTACTTTTCAAAAGTTTTCCCTACCTATTAAAGAACTAGTCACTAATTAAAGCACTATTAAAAAATGAGTCGGCAGTCTATGTTGTTGATTTTCTAAGGCAAAATGCAAACAAATTCCCTGCGTTGTTTCGTATTTTTCGTAATTATACTAGAATTCATGTTCAAAAACAAAATACAAAATAGGCATAAATTAGAAATTAGTCGTGAAGAAACATTTGAAAAATTGGAAGTGATTGTTGTGGCTGATGAAACAGACGGAAGATACAGACATGCTTTCTTTTACTTAAGCAAGTTTCGCCAGAAGTCGTCCAAAACGAATATGAACAGTTTTAAAAATATGCGAAATAAAAGTTTTATGTCAAAATTTTTTAATTTTTTATGTATATTTGTAAAGTTACATTTGTATTTTTGTATACAAGATTATAGTTTAATCATAAAAATATTTTTAAAACATAACCCACATATTCTATCAATAAAAAAAATTACTTGGGAAACTTGGGGAAAATTGAGGTAATTTTGTACGAAAAGGAGTTTGCGTAACAGAATTTTTTTGTAATACTTAGAAAAAAGAATTTTAAAGTTTTATTAATTGCAAATGAAAAGAAATCTCTGTTAATAATAGCAAACTTCAAGTTATTAAATTTAACTAGAACAGAGTTCGAGGAACTAAGACATAGGACATGAAAAACAATGAGATATGAATAAGTAATCTGTAAGGAAGAATTCAATTTTGAGAAATGTTTACATATGAGCGGCTTTCCATTTTACCCTCGGAAAAAAATTCGTAAAATCAGTTTTGTATTGACTAAATAATTAAATTCTGAGTTAATAACAAAAATAACTTAAGAAATTAGTCCGTCGAACTGTAAAACTGTTTATTTTCAGTATAATGTAATTTATTTTTATAAAATGATGTGTAAACAACATGTTGAGTAAAACTATTATTTATTAATATTTAAATTTGAAAGTATGTGGTCTTGTCTTAATAACAACATTACCGTAACTGAGCCTCTATAAAATAAAGAAATTTTACAGGTATCTGATAACCTGATAATTTCTTTTATATGATAATAACCTACCATGAAATTCAAGAAATTAAAACAAAAACAGATCCTAATCTTAAAAGAAAATGTACGAGATTTTTCATAATGGCGTTTAAACAAATGCTTTTAAATCCATATTAATTACAATAACAGTTTAATTTTCAAAGACATCATCATACAAATGATAATTTCTTTTAACATAAGGAACTGAACGGTAGAAGAGTCCAAACGAAATATAAGTTGTATTTGTATTTCTGGACATAAAATAAGCTGGTAGGTAAAGCTATTAAGTTTTATGAAAAGATTTCCATACATGTATTCAGGCTTTTCCATGTCTAAATGTCACAAAATATTTCTTCTAACTTTCTGTAGGTTTAGTTGTAAAATCATGAGGTTATTTTGATGCTAGAGACCTGAAAACTATGCAGTGGCGTCACCGAGACTCGAACCCTGGTTCTCTCGAATACGTGTCGAGTATGCTTGCAATTACATCACAAAGATATGCGGTAAGGAGGGAAAAATACCTTATACAATAAATTATTATTGCTTACAGGAAACTCTATCAGAGTATATTATTACACTCAACCAACAAAACTTCATCTCATGCTTGTTAACACAGCTATACGGTTCAATTAAACGCATCATGAATTTCATTATCAGTAATTTAAAAATATTTATTTATCACAGAATCACTGCAAGGGGTACTCATTCATGTTTTAATTGCCATCCACAATGCTTTATCAGCCAATTCCCTAACGCAAACACATGGAATGAACAGCACTAAAAACAATCATCAAACTGCCTTAAATGTGCCAAAAATTCACTATATAAATCGCATAGGAGCCAGTGCTATAGCTGAACTATTGTCTAAATGCATGCATAAAAATAATGATATTTTATAAAGTAACCAATTATTTACTTATTATTTTACTTATTTACTTACTTAATTATTATTTGCACATTCTTCCTCCCCTCCCTGGAAGGAATGAGTATTTTCAAATTAAATTTTATAAATCTGTCTTTTGAAGTTCAAATAACGACTTGATATCATTCAAAAGTATGGCATGTGCTTTATACAAAATACGCTTTCCTACTTCTGCAGTTAGGAATTTGAATTTACTGCTTATGTAATCAAAACATTCTCCCCCCTTCCCATCGAAATATCATGTAGAAAGATTTCAAAATAGAGAGCTGCCGTCTATTTAGAATTATACACGGATACAGAAAGGCAATATCACTGCTTTAAGTATGTATAGGTGTAAATTATATACTATATTATAGATATATATATATATAAAGGTGGGTTTTCACAACACAATATGTATTAATTTCTTCACAGTTTTAGCCTGTTAATAGATTTAGCGCGAGGCCGAGCATACATATCTGACTTGTAAATATCACAGGGGCGTGAGTAGCAAGAGATTGAATCAGAGTATGTGGGGCATTTAAAAATTATTTTCAAAATAAATTATGTATTGCTTTTACCTGGAACCATAAAATCCCATTTCTGGCTTAATAAAAATATCACTTAATTGTTTTACATATTCTTCGGGTCTTCCTTCTGCATCTTTCATCAGCTGCTCATCGGGATAATGCCTGGAAAAGAAAAGTGATTGTTAAGTTAGCTTTGCTATACTTCTTTGATAAGCTTTCTATAAATAAAAAAATTAAATGGAATATTCTCAAGAAAAAAAAAAAAAAAAAACATAAAATAATCTTAAGCAGAGTTTTTAGCGTAGAAACTAAAACATCATTTAAGTATTATAACTTATTATTAAAATCATACTTCATAGGTAATAACTAAATGTATTCAACATTCTAAACCAACATAGCTAAATGCATTCAACAACAGAATACCCAGTCTTTGGAAAATAAGTACCGTCAATATGGAAACCTTTTATTGCAAGACTCTTAAACATATTGAAATAATATGAAGGATTTATGGTAAAGATGTCCACGAGATTTTCCAAGTGCCTCAATCGAGGCAGAGAAACCTATTCGCTGTCCTGAAAGAAACACTTATCGTATCTCACACAATTAGAACTATTTAAGTTCTGGAAAGTGTTATGTTATCATTACGGACTTTCTACCTATCTAAAGATAATTTAGTTTTTTTACATGGTCTACAGTATATGTCAGAAAAAAAGCGGCTCTCATCGCAATTACTATCTCATAATTACGTGGATTAGGCCAAATCCATTGTTTTCGTTAGGCAAGGTTAAAAACAAGTGTGGTACTGTATTTACTCATAAATAAGACCTACATGAACATAAAAACATATTTTTTGATAAATTTTGATAAATAAAAATACATGTCAATATTTATTTTGTTTAAAATAATTCTGTGAGAGAAAATCCTAGATTTTTTTTTCTTTTTTAGAAGGGCTATTAATTTCGTTTTGGCAATTTGTGTTGAAAACTTTAAATGTCCTTTTCACTTTTCAAATTGCTGCCACCAAACATTATAGCCCTGTGTTATATTTAAAGAAATTAAATAATGAAGAATCTACGCAAATGTATGTATGTTTCTCGCATTGTGATAAAACAACGGTACCTAGAGCCATATAATTTTAAATAACGTTATCCTCCAACGAATATGGGCATCTGGAAGCCCTAATTTGGAATTTATTTCATTATCGATTCCATATTTTGCAAAACTTTAACGAATTTTCGATTAACAAACTCAACGATTTCAAAGCGTGCAGTGGCAACATTGTAAGGGAAAAAAAAGGAATTTTTATCTCCAGCACGCTAGACTGTGTATCGGAAATTCTAAACATATGCTCTTTTAAACGTTTTGTGATATTTCTGTTAAATTGATTTTTATGGTGTAAGGGCGAAGAACATTGTATTTAATAAGGTAACACACAAAACGTTAAAAAACGCCCCTTTGGACGTAATATAAAATTTGAAAGCTTTCAAATCTTTTCTTTTTCTTTTTCTCTTTTCTTGTTTCCCCCGCTTTCTACATTTCCTTTTGTTATAACAGTATCTTTAGCTGTTCCTCTAAGAACACTGTTAGTGATAAATTGTTACCTGTTTGTTTTTGGTCATGCCGAGTAAACAACTGAGTACCAAATGAATACTAGTAAAGTGGATGCAGGGCCTAAACTACATCCACTTTTCATTTCTACTAAATGTGATTCTACTAGATGTGACTGTTATAATCAGCTATGATTAAGAAATTTATTTATACCGTAATTACTTGTATGATTTTATTTACATATAGTATTTTAACAGCGTAATTGTTCTGCACAGTATAATAATAAAAGTCCTTCCTAATTCTACAATTTCATTGCCAAAGCACTCAATTATAAAACCCTACCAGATTTTATAGCAAAAATATAGCAAACCAAGTAATATATATATATATATATATATATATATATATATAAAATCTGAAATTTTTCAGATTTTAAATTACGTCCAAAGGGGCGTTTTTTAACATTTTGTGTGTTACCTTTCTTTATTAAATATCATGTTCCTCGCACTTAAACCATAAGATCCAGTGCAACAGCAATATCGCAAAATAGTTTTAAAACGAGCATTTTCGATACAGAGACTCACGCGCTGGAGATAAAAATGTTTTTTCTGCACAGCGTTGCCATTGCTCGCTTTGAAATCCTTGAGTTTGTTAATCAAAAATTCGTCAAAGTTTTAAAAAATAGGAAATCGATCATAAAACAAATTTCAAATTTCAAATTTGGTCTTCCACATGGTCATATTCGTTGGAGGATTACGTTATTCAAAATTCGATGACTCTATGTACCGTTGTTTTATCACAATACGAGAAATATACATACATTTATGCAGATTTTTCATTATTTAATTTCTTCAAATATAATGCAGGACTCTAACCATTTTGTGGCAACAGTTTGAAAAGTGAACCGACATTTATGAGTCCGACGCAAAATGCCAAAACGAAACTAATAGTCCTTCGGGATTCAAATCCCTTTGGACTAAAAAAATTAATGTTAATTCCTACTTAGGTCAACAAAGAAAAATTTTATTTTAGTTACTTTTTATTAACATTATTAATATTTTTTTTTCTAATTTATGAAGATGATGGTGGTCTATAATTTCTCATTTTATCCATTTCTTGTGATGCTTCGTTATTGCAAGGAGCCTTTCCAGTGAGTTTCGAGCAGTCCAGTTCTTCAATTAATATTCCATTTAACGATTTCACACGACTCAAGGCGACATATGCTTGACCTGCTGAGAAGAGATTTCGTCCTAGATATATTATTACATAATTTACAGTGCTATTTATTTTAATAAGCAAGGGACATAAGGTTTATATTTTAAACATACGTATATTATTACCACGTTAACATAGTAATATGGAAAGAATTTTCGCTATATAATTATATCCGCTTCATCCAACTCTATAAAACTACAATTCTTTAATTCCATACACTTTAAAAATCTTTAGAACTCTGTCTTACTGTTGCCATTAATTTTTGTTAAATAATACAATCCCATTTATCGTAGTCATATACTATTATTTATAAGTTGTTATAAAATTAATTTTTACAGCACTTGATAATTCCTAATAAACGGTCATTATTTGTAAGTCTTATAATTATTTAAAAGAATAGCATATCTTTAGTTCCGATAAACAGGAATAAATAAGTAGGAATTGATTTTAATATGTGAAAAAACTGTATTAACATCGTCATCCACTACAAGTTTTAAAAAATGTATTTGAACTTCAGAGGATGAATAAAAAGTATTTTATTAACGATTGAAAATTTGAGAGAGATATAAGGAGAGTGTGAGCTAATAGTAGGAATTTTTTTTAAAAAAAAAAGGTCTTTTTTTCTAATAAACATGGTAATTTTAGTTAAACAATGTTATCATGAAAAACGGGAAGCATTCGGTTCTATCTAACATCACAATTTTTTATGACACTTCTGCTATGGATTTCAATCTAGAACTCAAGCTGATTTAACACAAAAATCACGCAGAGTTTTAAGAAATGTGATGGAATACTTGGACCAAATACCGAAACCTACCAATTTAAGACAAGACCTATTAAAGTAAGATATTCAGACATTTCTCAGCATTTTGATATTAGAATCAATTCGATTTATTTAATAATTTTGGGGGAGTGTGTTTTAAAACTCGGCTTTTTTCCCGATCATCTAGTCCAAATTTGTTATAATAAAGTTGAATGAAAAGATATTTACAAAGTATCATTTGTAAGAACGCGAAATATGTCATCAATAAGTTCTTCTTTTTGAAAAGAATTCGGTTGATGAGATGTCACTTCTTCGAACATTCTTTTTGCAGCTGTCACTTTTTTCCATGGTGCAGAAGGAGAACTATTTCCAAAGACGTGCACACCTGTAAAATGAAACGCATTTTCATTGCTTGATAAATAATACTTTATGAACAGTGACATAAAATTATAAACTAAAGTGTCTGAGAAGACCTTGTATATGGTGTCAAAATGCTGTGATGCAGTGGCGTCATCTCGTGGTGAGAATGTTAGTTCTTAACTCAGTTACAGAGCGTACATGATACATACATGAGAGCGTGATGGTACATGAGAGCGCATAACGGTGTTACAACTAAGTATAGAGTTTTCTTCTGGATCATATTTAACATTCACTTAACATTACTTTCTCAATGCGTGGTCTGCTATTATGTTCAGCACAGTGGATTCCGCTAGCTTAAAAGTCGCTAAAACAGTGTTAACTCATTTATCGCTGCTTGTTAATTACCTCTTGCCCAAAATTAATAACTAATAGAGTAAATAATAAACTAACGGCAAATGTTTTTCTTTCACTTTTAACAATAAAATAATTAAATGAGTATCTCACATGTAGAAACAAGTCTTGTTTACAAAATGAAATTACCTACAATTCTTTCAAGCTGGGATATTGTTCGAAGCAGGGCAATACACATAATGAAAGTTTTGATAAGCTTTTTTTTTTGCACGGCCAAGGGCTTGTCACCATCAGTGAGAATTACAGGTAACATTCCTATACTGGGTAGCGTTTGCTGACATTGTGCATGCTGTTTCCACGCAATGTTGCTCATTCATTCGTGACGTATTCAACGATTTATGGTGTGTAGCAAAGATATGAGCCCATTTCACTTCGAAAATTATCCACGAAGGCATGTTTCCCTTAGATAGATTACCTTCGACTGCCATCGAATCAAATAAACCAAACGAAATCTAAACAAACCGATGGATGATATATGTGTAAGAAACAAGCACAGATTAGTTTATGATGTGACCATGGTGACCTTGTAATGTTACCAAATTATGTAATCTTGCTTTAATTAGTGTTTACAGATAAATCCAAATGTTCTTACTTAGTATACTGACCAGCCTCTGGTGTATTAGCATTTGCTTTATAAGATTAATATTCTGTTAAACACTATAAATTTAATTTCAGAGAATAATTTTAATCTCAGGGACTTCTATTAATACCTATATATATATATATATATATATATATATATAATGTCAAACATATTTTATCCAATACAAACAAAATAGTGGTAGTAAGCCTCTATTCTTCAAGAACTACATCGATATAGTAGAAAATTTTGAAAAGCTATTTGAAGATGGATGGAGCAGCAGGCTAGATAGAAAGGGAAGCAAAGAGCGAATATGACGTGTTCAAGATGAAATCTTGGTTCAGAATTAGTAAGTTTTTGTTTAGCTTTGTTTCGATTAGTTAATAATAATAAGTTCTCAAATTGAAATCTTAGTTGTTGAAGCGTTATGTAAGTGCCCACAGACGCAGTTTAGAGAGATTTATTATAAGCAGTTACTCTTTTCAGAACGTTACTATTGTAAGACAGTTACTGTTTTAAGACAGCTACTATTTTAAGACAGTTACTGTTTTAAGACAGTTAATATTTCAAGACAGTTACTGTTTTAAGACAATTACTGTTATAAGCAGTTCACTGTTTAATTTTCCTTTACATATTTTTATCTTACCCACATACATACAAACACACTTATATGTATAAGAATAAATGCAAAGTAAAAAGCAATTCAAAACCTAATCCAACTGCGCTCTAAAAGCAGCAGCAATTAAATGGCAATAAGGCACAATAAATTAAAATAAATAGTACGTTTAAAATTCATTCCCTATTCAATTCGGAATAAACATATGAAATAATCAAAACCCAAAGCCCACTGGCAAACTACAAGAAAAAGGGGGCAAATCATATCAAAACCAAAAATGAAAAACGAAATTTACTTTTTTGCTGCATTATCATGCGGAGGAGTTCAATGAAAAAAAGTAAAAGTAAATAAATCAACTGATTTCTGAACCACCAAAAAAAGAAAAAGGAAAAATTTTATTATAAGTTAAGTTTAAAACTTAAATAATCTCAGAAAAAAAGTTAAATTAATCTGTGTCTTTACCAGTTCAACCCCTAAAGGCCGAAGTAAGCATTATAAAAAGTTACAAAATTATAGTACGAAAACATAAACAAATTTTTAAAATATTATTTTGAACAGACCGAGTCCGAAAAAAAAAAAAAACAAACAAACCAAAAAAAAAAAATATATAAGCAATTCAATATATGAAAAAATAAAAATATATTAAAATTTTGAATCCATACAAGCCGAATTGAAACCTTTCAAAAATTTTTATAGAAACAATCAGAAACAAGCAAAAATGTTTAAAAGTCTAATAATGAAACTTCATTTAGAGTGGACTGAGTCCAAGAAAGATGTAAAACAGAAGCAATCCAACATATTAAATTTTAAGCTAAAATTACTTTTTAAAAAAATCTGAAAGCTTTTAAATTTTATGATACGTTTTTGACGTTCTGTTTGTTACCTTTATTTATTAAATATAATGTTCTTCGCACTTAAGCCAAATTCAACAGCAATATCACAAAATGTTTAAAAACAGCATATCTTTAGAGTTTCCAATACACAAACTCCCGCGCTGGAGATAAAAATGTTTTTTTCGTACAGTGTTGTCATTGCTCGTTTTGAAATCGTTTGTCAATCAAAAATTCATTAAAGGTTTACAAAATTTGAAATAGATAATAAAACAAATTCGAAATTCAAAATACAGGCTTCCAAGTGCCTATGTTCGGTTGGAGGACTACGTTATTCATGCAGTCATGCAGATTCCCCAACATTTAGTTTCTTTGAATAAAGTACATGACGATAATATTTGGTGGCAACAGTTTGAAAAGTGAATCAACGCAAAAATTGAAACGAGCAAAATGCCGTTTTGAGACTAATCAGCCCTTTGGGTCTAACGCCTCTTTGGTCTGAAAATAAAAATAAAAGAGGAGATAGTTCTTAAAATGTACAACATTAGAACAATAAAAATTTTAAAATGAAAAAACATATATTCGTTCTGTTTGGTAGCAAATACCTTTGAGCCTATAATTTGTCAAGAAATGGATTTAGATAAACTACGAATTTTAAACTCATTAATAAAAAAATAATTAGGAAACACTTCCTCGATAACATTTACTATGGTGTAGCAAAAATGATGAAACAAGAAGGAATTATTTTATAAAAGTGAAGATGAAAAATCATCGAATTACTTGGATAGCGCTTCAACGAATAAGATTCCAAGTTGGGAATTTATTATTATTAACCAATCAAAGTACAGCTAAACCAAACGAATTACTTTTAAACAGGCTGATTTATTTACTTCTTTCGTTGTACCAATCTTCTGATGGCAATGCAACTAAAGATGTAAATTTCTTTCTTCATTTCTGATTTTGCCATGTTTTGCTCCCTTTTTCATGCAGTCTCCCAGTGGATTTCCGGTTTTTTAGTATCTGCTTTTTGGGGGTAGGTTTGCATGTATTTATTCCGATTTGAATATGGGAGTATATTTTAAACATATTATTGATTTAGCATTACATATTTATTTATTCAAAGTACTCGTTCCTATTTCTTTAATGACGGCTTTCTAACTACAATTTCAATTTAGGAATTTTTATTACAGACGATACCTTGAAAATATCATAGCTATACCATGAAAAAAACAAGTTCCTGAATCAGGACATCCAGGGAAAATTTTGATTCCCCATAAAAATAGTGACTAAACGTCCTGTCTTTTCTAAATTTATCAATTCACTAACTTGTTCCTGCTACTTACTTTGCAAGACTTAGTTATTGTTATCGATATTAATACGAAAGCAAATGAAACCAAACAAAATTTTATTGCATTGACCATTTATAGATACATACAGTATTAAACTATACTATAAACTACCGAAGCGAGTGGTGCACAAAGCTTAATGTTTTGCTTTGTGCGTTTATACCTTGTAAAAGTTACCAGTTGTCTAAACCAAAGGCTCTGGTTAGCCTGGAGTTAACATTAGTAACTTAAAGCAACTTACCGCTGCAGACACGATGAAAACTCAACTGCTTGGCTTTTCCTATCCATGAGAGGTAATGCAGGTACAGAAATGATATCCAGGACTTTACATACTACTCTGCGCTTTGCTCCTATAATTTTGTGGCCAACTGTGTTGACTTAAGTATTTGTTACATTTGCATACTTTTAAACAAGGATAAGTTAGGAAAGAACAAAGAATAGCAGAATTTGAAACAAACTGACTAGTTACATTAGAAGTTTCATAAAATAAAACCTTTCCATTTGATGGTATGTTTGCTTATCGATTCTCGAATATGCTCTTTAATTAATTTTCGAAAAGTTCATCACTTAATTAAAATCTGAGAATTTAAAACTGTAAGTTTTCCATCGAAAGGAATGTTTGTTTCCAGTGGAATACAGTAAAATAATATTTATGTAATTCTAGTCTCGCAAATAATTTTCTAAACACTGAACAAACTTATAGAAATATTTACGAAGCGTTTCATTCAAATCATGGTTCGAATTCATAGTAATTCGGATATAATATCGAGGAATTTGAAGTGTCTTACATTGTAACTTTTGATAATGTAGTACTGCCATCTAAATCAGTAGTCTGAAACTGGCGGCCATTTAAGTAATTTTATGCGGTCCGCGAAGACATTTCAATTATGCTTTTTTTTTTTTTTTTTGTTATTTACGCTGTTGCAAATACTTCGTGGTTTTAGTTATTTGCTGTCCGAGTTTATATTATTTTAACTTCCATTAAAACAAATATAAATAACGTAATTATTTATCGACTTGAGGATGCAGATTTTATTAACTTTATTTTCTAATAAATAAACTCAGCAACAATCTGCAGAATTCAGCTGCTGAAATTACTCACTTAAAATTAATTAGAATAATTATTCTGTTTGGAAATACATTAATTTGCGAACAACATTTTTCGCAGATGAAAATTAGTAACCCAATTAGCTGATGTGCATGTAAAATCCGTGATGAAGATAATTTTTAGTAATTTCTTCCCAAGGCTACAAACTTATCGGAATCGAAGCGCTATTAACTTTGAAGTTGCATCAAGAGATAAAGAAGTTTATATTTATTTACACACAAGCATATGTATTTTTATTTATGTGTAGAAAAAAATTTATAAGTGAAACGTTGCTATTAGTGTTTAGCCTCAAGTTTTGTCCCACTCAGTAAATTTTCTCTGAAAACTTTTCATAAGCCACTTTTTTTCTGAAGTATTCATTATTTTTTAAATTTTAGTTTGAATAAGAGCAAGTTATTTTATAAATTAAACAAGATAGAACTGTTTGAAAGGAGTATCAGTCCAAGAATTTAATAATTTGCTGCCAATATATTTGAATTACAAAAATGTAGCCAAGAAAAAACACCTTACAGATTCCAGACTTTAAATTTCAGATAAAAAATAAATATAAATTTGAATGTTTTCCATTGAGATACTATTATTATTTTTTATGTATATTTTGATAAGTATTTAGTAAGCAAAATTTAAAAGTATTTAAATTTTTTTCATTTTGGTAATATTTTGTTAGTTTGCTAAAAATTTTCTGAAATTTTTCATTTTGTAAACAAAACAAAACAAAAAAAAAAAAAAAAAAAAAAAAAAAAGTTGCCCATCATTTGTTTTTAGATTGTGCATTAAGCCTGCGTTTGAGACCGCTGGTCTAAAACGTGATGCTTTAGTCTAATAGGTTAAGGTACGTTAGATGGACTATATCAAGATTTAAATGTTCTACTAAATATTTACTCATGAAATTTTTTATGTTACAATGTACTCATTAATAAACCCTAAATGCAATAAAACATTTTCTTGGACAAAACAAGATGATTCTCAATATGGCATTTTTAAACCTAGTTCTATAAGTGCACCATTTTTTTAAGTTTGTTTCTCAAACTAAAGAATTTTTACTTTTTAGCTTTTCCTTTCTCTCTCAGTTTTTACATCCTAAAATTGCACCTATGAAAATCAATACAATAAATGTGATGTCAGCAATAGGCAATGAGATATTTATAACAAGCGATACGATGCTAATATGTAATAAAATACTTTATTCATGTTTAAATGTAATGTTAATTATTTAAATGTGGTATTAATATTAAATAACGGAAATATAAATTAAATAATGGAAATTATAATTCTAATATCGACTCCACACAGTGCTTCAATAAAATTAAGAAGTTTAAAAATAAATGAAATTAATAAATAATGTAATTTGTTTTAACATAATACCGGCTTATATAATGAATAAAGCAAAAAATGAATTAAATACGGCTCATTTTATTATTACACTCATTTTATTATAGCAGCTACGCTACCAGCTTTCGCCTGGCTTTTAAATGTACCGGAAAAATGCCTGAAAGATACACCAAACATTAAATTTAAAAACGGCGCAGAATTTTACTCTGCAGAACAACTTCATATTTTTTTAAAATTATTACATGTAACAAAATTACAATGAAATAAGCCATATCCCTTAATACGAATATTAATTATCCTAATAAATAAATTAACCAACTTCTCGTTGCCTTATCTCAACAAGCCCACCAGCGGCCGAGCGGTAAAGTCGCTGAACACTGGTAGTTCGGTCCGAGTTTCGAATCCCGCGAACGGGCTGGCTGCATGTTTGTTTTCGTGGTTTTCCACATGTGTAACATGTATACGAGCCAGTTTCCGTTAGAACGTCCTCCACGAAGGCATTCCTTCTCTTAGGCAGATAGCCCTAGTCTGCTTTGCCACAATTAAATACATCAACAACACCTTCTCTCAACAAATCTCTAGTATCCAAGAGAAACATTAAATTTATAAACTGCACAGAATTATCGCCCTCAATTTTCCAAATGGCAACAGTGTTGATTTTCAACATTCAGCAGTCCAGTATACAATTGAATGAAAAACTGTTGCCAAAACCACATTTCTAAAAGAATAAAACTATTCAAAATGATGCGATAAAATCGAAAAGAAAATTTTAAAAAATCTGTTTCAAATATTGAAAAAAATCGCTTCGAGGTGCACTGGCTCTTGTCTAGATGCACATATATACCGAATTTCGTACGCCAGGGTCTATTAGCTCACTCACGAATGACACAATTTTCAGCATTTGTTTGCTAAAGTCATATTTTTCTTAGGTATGTCTAGTGTTTATTAACTGAGTTTTTGTTATCATTTATAAAAAAATGATTCAAATTAAAACATATAGGTAATTTTCATGTTTTCACAACAGTAAAAAATTTTAAAATATTTTGCATGTTTGCAGGTGCAGAGTAAAAAATGTATTTTCAAAAGAATTACAGAATTTGAATATTCTGCTTCAACGAGTACATGGTCAATAAATGGTTCTTTTGATTTGGAAAGGATTAAAGTACTTTCTTTTATAATTCTGACCTTAAAGCAAGCGGAATTAGTTTTTTTAATTCCAATTAATTAAGTAGCACAATATTCTTGTTTCTTTAATCAGTCTTCAAGATAAAAGTGGCTTTGAAATACAAAAAACGAAGGAGATTATAACCTCACAAAAAATGTAGGGGTTTTTAAAAAAAATTCATTCCTTTAAATAAATTTCCGACTCTGCTCATAAATAATATAAAAATAGTGGAAATACTGAAGAAACAAAATCAGCAAAATAATGATCCACAAAATACTACTGCTGTAAGTTAGCAGCGCTTTAATGAAATATTCAGGGTCATTCTAATGGAAAAAATATATAAAAAAAATAGTTTACTTTAAGACAAAGAATATCACTAATTAATCCTAACTATTTTAATCTTAGTGCTAGCAGCAGCATTGAAATTCCAGTTGTCTTAAGTTTAGAAAATGCTCTGAAGGCTAGATACATAAACCTTGCTTTTGCTTTGTGAAAGATAGCTCGAAGAGAATTGCCATCTATGAAACGATACGTTAGTTTATATAAGTAAAGTGTTAGTCAGATGGAATAAATCAGGTGGAATAATAGCTTTACTTAACTAATCCTAATTAAAATCCTAGCATAGTTAAAGTATACAAATTTATGTTATATAGCTTTATAATCACTAATTAAAGTAATTTAACCCGATAAGGAAAAAGTCCACATTTCTTGTCTTCAAGAAAGAACGCATTTTAGTAGCTAATTAAAGCAGAAGTAGTAACAATAATAGTTACCTGGCTTAAGAATAACTGGTCCTTGATTTCCTTCATTTGTGTAGTACGCAGCTATTATTTCACCGATCATCGGCCTATGAAAAAGAACAAAATCAAATGAATTGTTCTTTGATAAAGTGAACCGGCAAGACACACTTAACAAAAATAAAAACTTACTTGGGCGAAGTTACGATACGGTGGGCGAGCCAGACTCGTCCACCGTAATCAGTATTGTAACTAAAATGATGTTTCAAAAATATATTTATATCACTAATTTAAGTACATTCCAAATAAAATTACACATTAACCTTTACACATTAATTCTTTACACATTAATCCATATAGCGACAAATTAAATCCGACCCATGGGCATAAAAATCTTCAAATAATTCAGTATTCAAAGGTTTAATTGTATTTTTATTTTCTAATTTTACAGTTAACCTGTCCTTTATAATTATATTATTTTTTAAATGTTTACTGATTTATAATAAAGTATTAAACAATTTTTGAAATTTGTTTGTAAGATCACATTCAATAAGAAACTAATCATCGATCCTTTTTCTTTTTTGGTCATCTTATTTACTTATTTGACTAAACGTCTTAAATCTTTCATATAGTGAAAACATAACGAACTCAAGTTAAATGTTATCAATATTCATCGATATTTCGGCATTCTATCCAAAGAATTTTAATTATGTCACGGACCTTTACAGACAACGAAGAAATTTTAGTTCAGAATCAAAATATTTTCAGATTTTCTAAGTTGGATTTATATTATTTGTGGGTGCTTAAGTTTCTACCATATTATATTTGCAGTATATACCCTTTGAAGTTATTATAATGAGTTTTTCTTTTTTATTTAGATTTGATAGTTTTATTAGATTTATCAGACAAAAAAATTTATATTTCAAGCATATCAGATATATAATATTCTAATGTTCTGAAAGTACAAAACTAGATTCTACAGAATGTTACGTGTATGAGATATTTAGTCTTAAAGAAAGTTAGGTATTTCATTTCGAAAGATCTTGCTACATAAAAAAATAAAACTATAATGCAAATGCAAAATCTGCCTTTTAATATAAGTTTTTATAACAGCTAAAAATTGATAGAAATGTATTAACTTAATTGAAGAAAGGAAAAAAGGTTTTACTGTAATTAATTACTATTTTACTGTAATTATTATTATTTAATATACCATAAGCTATTACTTTCAGACACTTAACAGGATAAAAAGGCTTGAGCATGAAAATTATTACCATTTGCGATAACACATACGTTGTTTAAGAATACAGACAATTGTTCAAGAATATGATATCTACATTGCTCTTTAAATAATGTTTTAGAAAAGAAAGAGGATCTGCTTTTGTTAATTTTACACAAAGGTTTGAAATTAACTTAGACTGGAAGTGATTGTTTGTAGAGCTTGAATCGTATTGTAAGCTTGAATCGAATCGTATTGTATTTTAATTTTATAATAGTTATGTTAATGTTTTATCCTCTTTCCTGTCTCTCCTAGCTTCAGCTTACAACTCCCTATCAGAATGAGTTTTTAGGATCGCGTTAAATGCAAATAAGAAGAGAATAGTATTTAAGTCAAGCTCAACTGACGTCATCAAAGAGAGTTAGGATTCCTGAATAACTCGCGTTTGCCTTTGGATTACGTCTCTCTAAGCTGTTACAACACTCGGCCGTATTACGTGCCTTTTGATAGTTCGCTGGCTAATTTAATATTACGGGCCAACTAGTTTAGAATCGTGTTAGCTTCGGCTAAATCTCTTTAGTTAGTCATTAGTTAGTTCTTATTTCTTTCTTTTGAGTTTATGCCCAAGTGGAGGCTTTGCTGTACTCCTTGAGACAGAGACCGACTGTTAATCTTATTTTGAGAAAATAAAGGGTAATTAACCCTTCTTGAGTTTACGTCTTAGCAGTTCATTAGGTTCCTCGACACATAGTTTAATAGAATAAAAGTTAGAAACTCTACAGTATTATTATAAAGATTGGAAATATTAGCATTGATAGATAAATAATAAAAAAGACGAATAATTTATTAAGCTGCACACGCTGGCTTCTTGACTGCAGGTTATTTTAAAAAATGAATTTAATATCTTACTTGACATCAATAGTAACAAGCAAAAAGCTGTTGTACATCTCAGCTTCTCTCCTCAGACTTTGCAAGTAGGTGACGCCATCGTCATCTCCCTCCAAGTAATTTACAGCCAGGAAACCTGAAGTTAAAAAGAATAGATAAACTTTATATACAAATTTATTTTTTCTTCTTTGCATTTGTTACCTGCATACGTGGCGTTTACTCCTATCTGAGCAATTAATATAACAACTTCACTAAATAATGAAGTGGAGAGAGATAATACTTGCAAATTATTTTCCGCATAAGGTTTAGACCAAATTTGAAACTTAACTCTTAAAAAAAAAACAGCAAACAAATGGGTGATAAATTTGAAAGGAGTTTTCTGATATTTTACTTGTTAATTTAATTACATGTTTCTAGAGGAGAAGAAATCTGAATATAAACAAAGCAAGAATACATAAAATTAACATAAGTAAAATTGTGTTTCCTATTTAAAGGTTGATGACTGATTTTTTTTCTATTATACCACATTTTATAGAACAAGAATGTGTTTTTTAGTAATGTTTCTCAGTACTAGTTCTTTTTAATATGTTTCTGTGTATCAATTCTTTTTAATAATAAGTATCATTCTTCCACGAAATGAAAGAAAAAGAAAACGCTTTGGCTATTTTCTTACTTGAATTAATGTTTTTTCTCGTTTTGAATTTAGTTGAGTTCTTAATATAGAATTCTAATGCATTTGTTGTGTAATGCAAAGAGAGGCTCTGCACCTGTGAACATCGTTCAGCCTTATAGAGTTCAAATGAAAGAAGGTAAAATTACAATAACACAAGTAACTTGGTCTAATATTATAATTATAATAATAATAATGATAATAATATTTGTCTTTGATATTATATTTGATTATAATAAAGTATGTTTGATTAGTATTTGATTGAAGTCTTGTTAATTTATATATCCGTTATTAAGTTCTTACTTTTAACTACCTGAAAATTTATTATGAATTATTTTAAAATTTACAATACTTTAAAGATGCCGGTAACTATCAACGGCGATCGTGATAGTGATACGTATTTTAAGGGGCGAAAATATCAGTCTAAACATTTTAAGCTAAATATTTTGAATAAAGAGAGACAGAACAGATAAAACTCAATTTTTGAATTCAGTTTTGTTCCAGTAATGTAAAATTATTCTGCGGTGGAATTCCACAATCAATTTGCAATGGAATTCCACAGGGATTAGGAAGAGAAAGTTACCCTTCCTTACTTATATAACAAATTTAACTTGGCTGATAAGAAATTAGCATACGATTTCTTAAAGTGATACCCGATAAATAAATTAATATCGTCTGCAAGAGCTCATTTGGGTACTGTTATTTAATTGTCAATAATGCAGAAGTATAAAAGCAACCATTAACCCTTCTTCATTTCTTTTGCTTCCATTTTGCACGACCTTAAACCTGAATTGTCCTTCGAATACTTAATTACGAATGCACAAAAATAATTTCTTCCTTTATTTTCGATAACTCATATAAAGCCTCTGAGGCCTGTTTCATTTGTTTATATTTTTTATCAATTCGCTTTCGATTAATGAATTCGCAAATATCACTGAATTAATTTTAGGTTACTGATCCGTGTTGATCGAACGACGTGAGTAAACTCTGAAATTAATAAAGAAGAAATTCAAAAACTAGGCTGTTGTAAAATGACTAGCCATTTTTAACCACGGTGATAATCATCAGCTTGATTTGTGAATCAGCTGAATATTATCACGCACTTCCATTTACTTTCGTTCTTTACAACTGAAAATTTGCAGTAGCAATGGAAATTTTGGGCGTTTTCGATTAAAACAATTAGCATAATGCAAGATGAAATACTGTAAGTAGTAAACATCAGATCAGATACTATAAGTAGTAAACATCAGATTACTATCTAGCATTTGAAAAATGTGTTTACCATTAAAAATGGAAATTCTTTTAAATGCTAAAAAATAAGTTATATGAAAAGGTCTTAAAAATATGAAAAATTAAAAAACAGCAATCTGATCTTCATATTCACATTCTACATTAGCACCCGCAAAAAACTGAAAATGTAGAACGTAAATTCATATGTTTAAAACGAACTATTCAAAACAGTAATGCGAAAAAACAGGAAACGAATTTGCTATGATATAACCCCATAATTAATTAATATCACTTTTCATATATTTAATTAAAGGCTTACCTTTCCAAGGCGTAACTGCTCGCATTTTCTTTTTCAATGGATTGTGTGCGAGAGGCTTTTCTCTCAAGTACAATGCCAGCAATTTATTTTACACCGAGACACAAGATTTGTGTAAAGAAAACATTAGTGATGCTGACTGCCATACCGATGGTCCAAGGCTCGAATCCCGTAGAAGGCACAAGTGTTAGTAAGGGTATAGTGTCTGTGCGGCAAAAGGGCACTATAAATACACGGCGAGATGAAAGTCCTCTTGAAAGAAGTTGATGATAGAGTAAGATGGGTTGGAGATTCCGACCAGCCCACCGGGGTGTTCACCCTCAAAATTGGGGTTCTAAGCTTAATAGTTAGCGAGTTCCAGCGATACCTAACATATCTACGAAAATGCACAGATACCGGGCTTGCTTCAGTCTTTATCTGTAGTGAAAACAATGCCTTCCTCGATTTTTTTAAATAATTTAATATTGGTCGAAGATACAGAAGGCATTCAGTAAGTTCTGATCCTAAGTATGATGCGAGGCAACGAAAAATGATGAAATAATTGCCTCATCCTTTGGAAGCATAGGAACACACACAAAGAAGCTCTATTATTTGACTTTTGAGAATCAGTTGAAATGTTGTCAAACTGTGATGTGTGTTAACATAAAAAATGTAAAATATAGTTCGGTGACTGAGTTCCTGAAAAGGAAGGCATAAAACCAATTGATATTCCAAAACATACGGTTGCAGACAATTATAATATAGCAATTGTGAAAAGTGGGTTTCCCGTATTTAAACAAGAGACGTCGTCACGAACATGATAACAAACCAGGCCACAGTATGGATGTGACCACTAAAGAAAATGTGTGCTAAAGTCAAAGAATATGTGAAGGAAAACAAGTTAATGTTAGTTCTGTTAGTTCCAAGAAAATGGGATAAGTGGACAAAATCTTGCTATAAAATCTGAGGATGTCGAAAGACTGCGTCAAAGGACTAACCTAAGATGTTGACCCCTAAAACGAAGAAATAACGGACGGTATTTTCTCAAGAATTGCTGTACGTGATCAAGTCGATAAAAATTTTCATTCACGTTAATGGCAGGAGAATATATATGGCTTCATCACGTTCGTCATAAAGGAAATAAGAGAAGACTGTGTAGCAACACAGTAGATCTTCTCTACTAAAGTTCAGAACTCAGAAATCTCTAATTGAGTGGAGCACTGCTTATTGAGTATATACTATTTAATACTATAATAAGTTGCGTTTATTACGTTAATTTTTTGACTCTAATACCGCAAGTCACAAAGATCAAAACACCGTGGTAAACTTAACAGAAATTTGTTACTTTGCATGCTAACGCTCCAGCACATATGGCTTACATTTACCTAATAGCTATTCAGCAGGTAACAAATACAAGTAACCGGAGTACCAGAATTTCACCACTGATACAATCCCATCGTACAGATATAATCCTGCAGCATAAAATGTGAAGTTTCACCCGAATTTTTAGAGAGAACATCGCGAGTGACTATTCGATAGTCTTCCATCCCTTCTTCCCCTACCATCAACATCTCGAGTGGACTTCCGGCTTGCCGTGTACTTTACGTGTTCCCTTGCCGTACAGATACTATACGCCTACAAACATTTTATGCCTTCTCAGGGATCCGAACTCCGGACCACGTTATGGAAATCAGCGTCGTTATCCACTATGCTAGCTGGACTATTTATTCAGCAGCGCGGAATTTAACTTTTCCTCCGTCTACTATATTCACTGGACCTAATTTTTAATGACTTCTTTTTTATTTTAAAAACCTAAAGCATCGTTTAGTTGTTTGCATTGAAAAGACGATGATAATTGGAAGGATTCCGTCCAAGAAGTCTACAATATAAAATATTTTTTGCAGAAATGCAATGTTTAATGGCTGACTTTGTTAAGTGCAGTGAAGTCAAAGAGATGTGTAAAGAAAACTGAGAAAATAATGTTAGATATTTATTTCATATAAATGTTAGACTTAAAACGTATTTATCGCCTTCCATCCGAAGTTTAAACGTGATGAAAACATATTCCGCTTTCAAGACAAACAGATTGGTTTTTATAAAATTGCCATTAGTTTTTGACGATGTTCGTTTATTGCTTGAAAACCTTTTCGCATGAATAATCACAAACAAACTGAATCTCCAACTCTAACTTGAAATGGAAGAAATATGCGATTCTACACCTGGAGCTTTGCAAGAAAGGAACAAATTGTTTCGAACGCTCTGTTCTTGATAATTTTGAAGATTGTAGGCAAAATCGCTAAGCTCTTTAGGAAATAAATATTTTTCGTATGTTCTCGAATATTAAAAATGTTTTCTCTTAAATGTCTTTTAAAGGTCTCATATATGAAGCTTAAGCATTTAAAATCCCTTAAATTTATAATTTTTGTCTTAGAAAACACGTACAAGAGAAAGTACAAGAAAGATACAAGTTAAAACAAAGTACATTTACTTATATTTGCATCAGCAGCATGGTATTAAGGACCAATTTTTTGAATTACCCTAAATAAAAATCTCATGTGTGTGAAGTTGTCTTATATGCATGCCTTTTTCCTCTTGCAAAACACCTCAAAAAGTGCACGACGGCTTAAAGCGGGATGTATTCTTTCTTTAGTGCCAATATAAATATTACAAATTATAAAAATTGATAACCAAATTTTGTTATTATGAAAGATTTGAAAAACACGTACGCATAGAAAACAGTTCCGGTTGTGATGATCCATGATGACGTTTTGATCAGCAGGTATTTAATGAAAGTAAAAATATTCAATTAATACTAGGTTTTGCTAAAAACACATTTACCTTGAAAATGAATAACACTTCATTTCTTTCTCTGTGTGTCCAAGTATAAAAGTGCTTTCAATAAATCAACGATATTTCGAAATTTTTTACTGCATGTTCCAAAATGAAATAAGCATTTTTGTATCACCTCATAGACACAGCTAAAGTAGTGATGAAAAACAAGACTAGATGTATAATATATTAAGACCTCATTATTCGAGACTCAGATACTCTACTCACGGCCATAAACGATTAAAAACGTGACTGAAAAATCGATCCGTTCCTCAGTAAAACAATTGAAATGACTTCTTAATGATATAAATTATATTAAACTGTTCTAGCCAATCATAGAAAATAGATTATTATTCTCCTTTCAGAGTTAAAATTGGGCTTTCAATAAACAAAATTTAATTCTTTTTGCTTGAATCTTACCTGACAAATATAAGGCTAAATTTTGCACATCTTCCTCCTTTTTACTTCCTTGTACGAAGTAAAAAGGAAGTATTGTAATCGCGAAAAGTTTCAGGCAGCATATTTCAACGAAAATATCCATTTTGACCTCTATCGAACGCAATTTAACGATGTTTTTGCGTGATATCTGTACGTAAGGACAGAATAAAAGAATCGTTTCCTCCAAAAAAATTATAAAACTTCTTTAAAATAAATTCTGAAGAGAATTTTTCGTGGCGTCTGTATAAACGTATGTACGTACGTACGTATCTACTCAAAAACGACAAGCCTCAGAACGTTGAAATTTTGCATATAGGACTGCTATAACATGTAGATGTGCACCTCGTATTTTGGTTGCAATCGGCCGCACCAAACGTATATAAATATATTTATATATATATCCACACTGTTACCCAGCTCTGTGATCTCAGTTTCTTTACTCTTATGTGTTTGTAAATTGTACATTTTTTGCTTTAAAAATGATTGAATTATGTTGTTCTTATCTTCCGGTTAAGATTTTTATGCCTTTAGTAAATCTGCATGCAATATTTTTAGAATTATCAACAATTTTAAAGTTGTGTAAGTGCCGCTAAGCCCAATAATTTTTTTGATGGCGGCCATTGCTTGTTTACATTTGAAACAGCAGACTAAGGGATTTGTTGCCAATCTAGAGAAACTTAGCTTCGCAACAACAAAGATAACGCCTTCATTTGTTATTGCCAATTAAATCATGCTTAATCCTTTCTGGAATTTTTTCGAGGAAATAAGTGTTTAATATTTACTTCGTAATTTTTAATATAAATATTTTGAGTTTTTATGTGTTTTTGGCCTTCTCGCGAAGGGAGAACTGAATTAATTGAATGAGAAATACTGAATCGTCTGTGAAAAACTGTTCCTTTTTTGTTTTGTTTGCTTAATTTATTTTATACATCGTTCTAGCTTTATTATAGTATTTGAATAGAACATGTGGCAACGATTAGATAATTCTATTATTTAAATGATATAAATTTTGTGCATTCTGAGTTATAATATGAACGAAATATAATACTATTAAGTGAATCTAGCGCCAGAGCGTCGCTATGGTAAACAAATACTAGAGTGAATTTTAAAGAATTCATTTATTCTATTGTGGTTTATGCGCTGTCGGCGAAGTGATTTAATTCAATCCAATACGTTTAAATGAAATAAAAGAAAAAATGCGCATAATTTAATGTTCCATACAAGGAAGTCATGTGGTGTACACATCAGATTTTTTCAAAAAAATACTTCTTTTAATAATCATTTGTTAAATTTTTAAATGGAGATTAGAAATGAATGCGATCTAGTTGATTTTCTCTCTCAAAACATAATTATAGGAGTTTTAATATCACTGTAAAACTGTATGAAAACTTTTGTTGTCTAAAGATGCGATCAGTGGATTGTATTTCTAAAGTATACAAAATGTATAAGAATACTTTCATATAAGGTATTTCTAAGGAAAAGTGGCTCATATTTGCATTAACTATAGGGAAAAAAAAGAAGCATAAGGCTGTAAACGTATGGTTTTCTGTGGGTTGAAAATACGATTGTTTGGATTTTTTGTTTCAGCATACTTAAATATTACGCCTGTGCTATTCCATTTTACTTAAGTACTTCAGTAGCGCGTTTTTCAGTCTTAATTTTTCTCTTTGCGATTTGAAGCAGTGTTCAATTTAAAAAGCGATATTACTTTACATTTAGACTAGAACCTGAATAAAATTCTTTAACATCTGATGTAGGAAGCGTTTCCCACGCAGCTGTTCATATGCAAACAAATATAACTATATTCATCTAGATTTGGGATTTTCCACATTTTTTAGTTTTTTAAATATTGATTTAGATATTTAGAAGCATCTGATATGTATTTACTATGTGTCATAGTGTAAATAAAGTAAATAGACCTCATTATTCGAGACTGCAGGTCCTTAAGGATCAGTCTGTTTAAGGAAATAACCGCTCAGTTTTTTAATTTGATTTATAAACAAAACATATAAAAGTAAAAAATCTAAGGTCTAAGATTCGGAATTAATTGGTAAATATCATTCACAGTAATTATTCATTTTTTGTTTATTTTGTTATTAAATATAAAGTCTATCCTTCTATTCCCCAATAACTTCCCTAAAGAGTAAATTTTTAATATTTTCAATGATAAAATTGAAAATAATCATATTTAAACAGAATTTAATATGCTTGTTTGAAACAAATACATCTTTAAAATTCAGGTTGAAATTAAGTTAAATAATATTTAACGCAATACGAATTTTCCTCCTTTTCTCTTTAAATTGAGTTTTTTAATTTTTAATACTTTTTTATTATAAATTATGCAGTAAAATATTCAGTTACAAAAATACGAAAATTAGTTTCGCGCACAAATTACACATCAGAAATCTTAAATCGCACACAAAATATAGATATTAGGTATTAATCTCATAATTTGGTTTTCAGTTTCAAATACATTTCTGTTTTGAAAACAATTCATAAATCACAGTAAAACATATAATTTTTTAAAACTTTAGAACGATAATTTAGAACTTCGGTAATTAATATATAAGTAATTTCCAGAATAATTTTTTATGCAAGTTCACGAGTTTTATGCAATATAAATATTCTACCAACAAGAAGGGAAACACCGTTCACTTTTTCATAGCTAAATTGATTATTAATATTGAAATTAAAAGATTACCATAAACTAGCCTAGTTTCCTAAATGGTCTTCTTCCCATATTCAAAATCTATCTGTTTTTTACTTATTGCGCAACAGGTATATTGCCTGTTGCGCTCATATAAAAAGGTTGTCGTAACACGCATGCAATAATTTATTCCATTTTTAAGTGTTTTTTACACATATATATATATATTAAGTGTTTTTTACATAATATATATATATATATATATATATATATTTACATGTTTGTTTAAATTTAAATATATATATATATATACATAACACACATCAGCTGCATTCTACAGGATTAATGAAGTTCAATGCACCCTATTTAAATATGGACAATTTTAAGTACACGTTCACAAGAAAACACAATTTCCAAAACAATCTACCAGATGCTGCTTACAGCACAAAATAAAACTGCATCTGTGGGCGGTATCACTATAAAATAATTAAAGAATGATAGAATTTTGTCTTATGACACTGGTTTTTGCTAGCAGTATCAAATAGTTATTTTATACATTGCGATGCTGATAACCGGTGCAAGTGTAACATCTGGAGCTCTGAGTACATCAGATTGTTTTATACTTTTTTGAAATAAAGAATTAAACGTGTTTTTGAAGAGTGCAGTTTTTACCATTCCTGCGCAGTACTAAATGTACAAGTACGAAACTTTGCCACTACTATCAGGATATCGTAAGGTTTCGTGCTTGCTGATGTCATATAGGAATAAAAGAGCAGCACAATTGTTAACTAAATGCATTACAAATGTTATAATAAAGTAAAGCTGGAGAAATATTTTATTACTAAACCCAATGCTACGGCAAGCCAGACATGTCCCAGACGCCTCTTATGTTTCATCCAAATATAACATAAACATTTAGAAACTGATGCAAAGGCAGCTTCACTCCGAAAAGCTGACAAATCACAAACAATTGTTACACTCATAAATAGGTTAAAAAAATCATATAAGAAATTCATTTCATATGATTAATTAAGTTGACATTTTTCTTCAAATTAAATTTTGCACCATAATAAATTTTCACTTTTTTAAGATAAAATATTACCTCGATCCTTCTTAGTTCCGTCCATATCTGCTAAGGGTCTCATCAAATTTAACAGTGACGCCACTTGACCGTTAGTATTCATGCCTAACCAAGTTCCGCCTTGTTTCCCTTCTTCAATATCCATACCTACAAGTAAATTAAAAAATATAAAATATTACTCTTTCTCGCTGTTGATTTAATAATGTGTGAAAACATTTATAATAGAAACTTAAGCTATGCGCTTTAAATGAACCTTAAATATGGACATTTATTTACCCACCTTTTTTTTAGCTTTTCTTCAGTTTTATAACAGAAATGTTTGTAATCTTTTCACGATGCAGAGTGATTCATAATTCCCAGCCCAATCTTTAAAAATACACAGAATCAAAAAATACTCCGTTTTTGTTTTAAAGTCAAAGGATGTATTATTAGAACCGTCGCGCACGAACTGTGCAATATTCCCCTTGTTTAAACATGACATTTTCCAGTTTAAGCACTCGGATGCACCAATAAATTCAGGCACCGAACCTGGCATTCGAAAAGCATATTTTGCCCGTAATGGAGAATTTTATACAACTTTCGTGAGGGCATTTACATACCCATTATATAGAAATAAAAACGAGAAGGAAAATTTTCGCAAAAATTGTATCGCTTCTCCGTTAGGCTGAATTGTCAAATGTTTGTTGTTCTCGAAATACATGATACCTTTGAAAATGTACTGCAGTTAATGCGTCGACATTATCAGGCATATTTTGCTGTTGCTGGCAGGTTTTCTGAATAGCTATTTAAAACAGGGTCTATCAGAAATTTTGATTCATTTCCTGAAAAATTTCTGCGTAGTGCCTACAAGCGACAATAGCGTGTATACGTTTTTGGACAAAAAGAATAATGTTTATTTTGGTATATACAACTCTCCTTTAAAGTTTGGCAGAGAATTATAAATAATTATGCATATTATTTCATAAGACATATAGCATTTCCCTAAATAGGAGGGTATCCAACTGATAATTTTTAAAGAAAATGAGCAAACTGATTTGTTACATTTGTAGTAGATTCAGTCTGATTTAAATTTATCAACTGTCAATAAAAGATAAGTAAATCATAAATTCTGAACAATTTTATGTAAAAACTAAGAGGCTAGAAATTGAGGAAAAAATAAAGATTCAGAATAAACAAACGGCGCTAATCACATTGCCGACATCAAGTAAGTTCAATGAATAAAGTTTACACGTCGGTATTTCAAATAAATTTATGTGTAAGTACAATCCCAAGTTCAGGCCCTAAACAACCTCGTGAATTTTTACAGGTGAGTGAGTGCTTGGGTATTTTGTGCATTTGTTTGTATTAATTATTTTATAAAATGAACATTTCATTGAGGAAAACAGAAGCTATTGATGAAATATTAAAGTTTCTGCGGAAAATAGAATTTGTAATGAGGAAAAAAGAGAATGGGTTTATTTGATTTTAGAAGATTATATCTGAAGAAGAAAAGGCTCTTCAAAACATCTATTAGGTGTTTATACGGGGGCATACGCTTTGTTTAACGTATAATTGTTATTTTATTCTTCTGAAAAATTTTTCATTTAAATTCCATAAATGGTTGAGGTTTGCAAGTCAGAAGTACTTTATATAACTTATGAATAATACATTTTTCGAAGGTAAGTTTACGATCTTAACAATAGCTTATACTTTTACATAATGCATTTCAAAAGCAAACAAATATATTGCTTTAAATATAATTATCTATTTCTTGGCAGATTCATCGACATTTTTGAGAGATATCTACAGATTTACAAAAGTCAACTGAGTCTATTTTCAGAGAAAGATATTCCCTATTGAGTGTTTTTTTTTCTTTCCAAGTAACATGTGCATGAAAAACTATTTAAAGTAAAAGAAATAAACAGGTTTGTTACATATGTTCTAAATGATTCAACATTCAAAGGAAGTCAAATTACGCTTCCAGTATCCTGCATTTTCCAATGCGAAATCGTATAAAAATCTGATGCTGTTTCCCTTGACAAAACTATACAAGTCGTATGACATTGACCCGGAAAGTGGCATTGCAACGAACACAGAAAGAAAGCTGCGGTTACGGCCAAAATCTGACCAAGGTTTTTCAAAACTTCCGCTTGAGACAATGATTTATGCATCTCAGATTTCTAAAATTCACCATGCGTAGTATCTCTACAAGGTTTCTTCTTTCTCGCCTTCTGTACTATTGATTTTTGAATGATGCTGAGTAACAATTAGTTAAGAATCTGAACGATTAAATGTTTGAAAATTAGACTGCAAAGTGTTAATTAAAATAATTTTAATAAGTACCTAACGAATTCGGTTAATTATTTTGTTACAGACGTTTATACGAAAAATATTAGTTAAAATTCTTCCCGTATAATTTTCTGCCCATTCTCATCCGAAAGCATAAAATTAATTCCCATTTCATTTATAATTATGAATGAATTCGTAATTTCATTTGAACTTTCTATGATTTACATGCCAAGAAATTTTAAATATATCAGAATTGTCAAGAAATTCCTATTTACAGTATATAATTAATAATATAATATATTATTTTTAAAATAAATTATTTTAAAAATTAGCTGAATGGGAAATAATATTAAAGTAAACTATAATTTAAATAAAAGTTTATGAATGTTCCGAGTTAGCAGGTAAACGGTTTATTTCAAATTGTAAATAAAAGCTCACAATTAAGACCGATTACGGCTTGGCTGAAAGCAAGTGATACAAAAGGACTAGAAAAACGAAATACAAACCTCGTGTAAAAATAACCGAAATCAATATAAGTGTATACTTTTCTTTATATTTATAAGGTTATTATTTAAATTAACCAATTATTTATAATTTAAGCTTTTACTATAACTTTTCTTTTTCATTTCCTCACCAAAATGCAAATGAGTAGCCATAATCTAAACTAAGGTTTTTGGCGTTTTAAGACAGAGCCTGTTTCTGGTTGCGTGTTAACCCTATGCTTTAGTTCCTGCCAGCTCTGACAGTTACAATTATTCGGCTTTGCATTATATCGCTGCTGACAACTTGATGTAGACGCTTCGATAGAATTACTGAATCAGCTTCGAGTATCATATAAATTGTGTAGTCTTTGACTGCTATTGCAATTTAACTTAAATTTGTCTGTCCTGTTTAGTTGCATCACCACGAAGCTGTGACAGATATTGTTTGCACAAAGAAGTGCGTTTATGTTTTAAATTATGTTTAAATAAGAAGCTTATGCAAAACCTTCTTACGACTTGTAGTTACTGCAGACATAGTGATAATTCGCTTCACATCTGATAGGGTTATTAGACCATCTGATAGAGTAACTACCAGTTCCAGATGAATTAGAGCCCCGTATATTTATTAAATGTAATAATAATTTATATGCATTAATACCATATCAATATTACAAATGCGTTAAATATAATATATCTTGAAGTTATGTGAATCTGTGTAGTGTGGAAAAATTAAATGATTTCCAAATTTATATATTATTTGAAATACATCACTTGAAGCGATAAAATATTGGCAAAGAGGTCACATGGTCACTGCCACATGAGGAAAAGGGGAAAGTGGAGCGAAAAATGTTGAAAAATACTGCTATATGCTTATTTCCGACCCTTTGTTCTAGCTTTTAATTTACATACAAAATGCTAATGACAAGCATTTATAATGATTTGAAGAAAAGTTTGAAGATGAGTTTTATTTAAAATCCTCGCCGTGCCCTAAACCTCATTTTAAATACATTCTTTCAATACCAGCAGATGTTGCCTTAGTTCCTCTTTCAATTCCTTTACTCTTATTCACTGTTTAAATAAGCTATGAGTTTAGAAATCCAGTTTCAATTACTTTTCATAAAACTTTCTTTCGTCAAGTCGTCAAGTAAGCACTGGCGTAGAGAGGGGGGAGCGGCAAGGGGGTCTCGACCACGCCCCGGGCGCTGCTGGCAGAAGGGCGCCAAAGGGTCTCCAAGACAAACAAGATTTTCCGGAAAATTTCAGTTCTTATTTTAATCAATTTCTGATAAATATATTTTAAATTTATAATTATTGTAAAATAATTAATTATTTCCTTTTTTGATTTGTCTTATAACATATGTTAAATATGACATTTGCAATAAATCAATCATATATCTCCGTATACAAAACGTTCTTTCTTCTTTCGTTCTGAACACTTTATTTTTCTAAAATATTGATATACTTTTATCTTCTTAAACGAAATGCAAGTACAACCACGCTTGTTATTTTAAAAGATAACGAACAATATAGTCTTTTATTATATTATAAGCACTTCGACCTTGAACTACGTATTATTAATTCGGTAGCCGATAGAGATCTTTGTTATGAATTTTACTTTTTAACATCTACTCGACGATTCAGTTAACAATGTTCAATAAAATAATTGAAGAGCTATACAATGTTCATCTTTTATTACTATATTGTTTGCAATTCACAATAAAGTAAGTTCTCCTTTTTACATTTTATTTATTGCTGTTGTGCTATTCAAAAGTAATAGCTTAATTAATATAATAAAAATTCATTTTTATTTAGACCTTGTCAATTCCAGGAAAAAAAACTTAGCGGTTCTTAGAATCGGAAAAGAAAACTAGAGCTAAAAAAAGGAGCTCAGAACTCAATAATAAAGGAATCGTATTTAGTAATAAAATCGTAAAAGCTAAAACCAGGAGATAAGAAGGATGAAGCAGGAGATAAGAAAACCAAAGTCAGAATCAGATTCAGGTTGTACTTCTGTTGCTGCTAAACTTGTATGCGATAAAGCATCACAACAAATAGAAAACTCTGAAGATGGGGGTTCTAAGTACATCAGAAATTCCAAAACCATGTCCATATCTAATAAAAAGTACAGAAAATGCAACAGAAACACTCACTGTAATTTCGGATGTTCGGAAAGATGTTGCTTATTTAAAATTCAGTAATGATATTGAACCCGTTTCACACAGAAATGATTATTCGTTGATCTCACATATTTCAAAACGATTTCAGTCTAAGTGCAGTAGGAACAACAGCTAATCGTCTAATGTTAAAATTTTCGTTTCTAGACGAATCGGTAATGAAGAATAAGGAACTGAAATTAACCGATCTCAGTTATTATATTCATCAAAAAATACTGCAGCG